ATTATTGTTATTACTATTGTTATATTATTATTATTATTTTTATTATTATTATTGTTATCATTATTATTATTATCACTTTTATTATTATTATATTATTATTATTTTTACTATTACTATTACTATTATTATTGCTACTACTACTATTATTGTTGTTGTTGTTGTTGTTATTATTATTATTATTAATATTACTATTATAATTATTTTATTATTATGTTTATTATTATTATTATTATTATCATTATTATTATTATTATTATTATTATTATTATAATTATTATTATTATTATTATTAATATTATTATTATTATTATTATTATCAGTATTATTATTATTATTATTATCATTATTATTATATTTATAATAATAATAATTATTATTATTATTATTATTATTATTATTATTATTACAACTTTTATTATTATTATTATTACTATTATTATAATTATTATTATTACTATTATTATTATTAGTATTATTATTAAGATTATTATTATTATTATTATCATTATTATTATTATTATTATTATTTTTTGGTAACTAAATTTTATTAATTACCAGAATCAGCATTACAAAGCAAGGTACTAACACAGTAGCAACAAACATCAAGAACGAAACTACACTACCCCTACACTATTAGCTAAATTCACCAGTTCAAATACATCTTTGAAATATTAGTAGGAATTCTAGCCATAGTCACATAAGCAATCTCTTTTGCTATACTCTCCTCCTTTCTGCTTTTTTGCTCAAAAATTCTATTGTTTTTCACTATCCATAAGCCATATATGCCTTCTGTTAGCACTGTCTTGAACATTTGTGCTGTAGTTCTCTTCCCCTTCCCATTCTGGACACACCATTGTTGAAATTGCTCCCAAACCACTGGAACAGTACCTTGATGATCCAACCTTCTCAATAAAATTTCCCACAGCTTCCTTGCAAACTGACATTGTAGAAACAGGTGTTCTGTAGTTTCTTCTGCATTCTTACATAACACACACATTTTATCTACTTCAAGTCCCCATTGAACTAGTCTATCCACAGTTGATAGTTTTTGATTCATCATAATCCACATTGTGATGTAGGCTTTTGGTCTTGCTACATTACTAAACATGAGGCATGGCCATGCTGGCCTTTGTTTCCTTTCTGTCATGTGATAGTAAATGTGCCTAAGCACACCTTTCCTTTTGTTTTGTTCTTGCTGAGCTTGATCAACTGTAACCTTTGCACTCATTATTTTCTTAACCATCCAGCTTGCAGTATTGCTCATCTTCCATTCCCTCTGTCCTTTTATATAATATGCATGAATCCATTTAATCCACAACTTATCTTCTTTGTTTGCTAGATCCCAACATAGTTTAGCAATTGCTGCCCTGTTACAAATTTTCAGATTGATCAGGCCTAAACCTCCTTCATATTTAGGACAGCACACTTTGTCCCAAGCTATTAGAGCTTTCTTTGTTACATATCCCACCCCTGACCATAGATAACTTCTGCATAAGCCTTCTATCAACTTGATTATCTTTGCAGGTATTAGAAACAGCTGTGCCCAGTAAGCTTGTACTCCTAACGAAACAGTCTTGACTAGTTGAGCTCTTCCTGCATAGGACAGCTTTTTTGTTGTCCAAGAGTTGATTCTTGTCATGATTTTCTCTATAAGTGGATACCATTGAATTGTATTCAACTTCTTTGATGACAGTGGCACCCCCAAGTATTTGAAAGGAAGCTCTTCTATAGTGTATCCAAGCTGTTGGACAATTTGATGTCTCACTTCCTTCTGGACTCCACCACAGTAAATTGAGCTTTTGTTAAGATTAGCTTGCAACCCTGAAGCTTGAGAAAAGTCAGTGAAACATTTATGAAGTGTCACGACCCAAACCGGGTTGCGACTGACACCCACACTTTCCCTCCTATGTGAGCGAACCAACCAATCTAACCTTAACATTTCAATATAATATCAACAGAAAGTAATGCGGAAGACTTAAACTCATTAAATAAAGACCAATTCATTAACTTCTAAAATTCAACATCTATTATTCCCCAAAATCTAGAAGTTATCATCACAAGAACATCTACGATCAAATG